TGCTTTCTTGCGGCTGATCATCTACTGGTTTTTCAACTTTGACATCATTGCTTAGCAAAGACATTAATTCCTCAGAATCTGATAGTGCACCAAGTTCACTTGCCCAATCTAATGAGTTATCATTCATATCTCCCTTAAACCGCCAAAATTATGAAGAAAAACCTAAGGTTTTCTTCTTGTTAATTATCAGTGGGATCACTTCAGGCAGATTCACTTGCAAATACCTACACAGGGAGACAGATCTCTGAAGAATGAGAGGCTGAATTATATCACCAATTAAATTGTTTCTGAACTTTGATTGGTACTGGGAATTCAGATAATTATAGACTGATTTCCTATGCAAGAAAATTAGGAAAACTAATGCAATCTAATGATGATCATGCATGAAGGTCATAGTCCTTGAGAAGCAATAACACAATTAAGGGTGTGTCTGTTACACAAGATTAAGAAGAGAAACAATAATACAATTAAGTATTATACTTTGTGAATACTTAAAAATCTTGTATACTACAAGATACAAGATATATGGGAAGGCATGGTAAATGAATGAAAAGCTAAAATGGACAGTAATTCTTCATGTTCCTTATACAGAAAAATCTAAACAAGGTCATGTTAAATTAAGCTGTGCTGTTGCAGTAAAATCTTCCAGTTACTAAAGCACAAGAGCAAATGAAGTTAAAGAAAAAGAGAAACTAAGAAATCAAAAGAATATACCATATATGCTAAAAGGAAAAAAATGACAAAACCAAGAAGCTTACATAATCCAAACCAACAAACTTCTGATCAACCCTTATTCAAATTTTCTTTTATGGAGCAAGAGAAGATGAACATCTCTGAGTCAAAAAGGAAGTAATGCATCTTCTGCTTTCTGATTGACAATTCGTGATTTTCAAGTAAAATGAATAGGCCAGCAGCAGAATACTGCAAGCACGGTTGTTTGCACCAAGGCACATAGGGTTAGAGACTTAGAGTTCATTGGTTTTTGTTTAAGAAGATGAAAAGAAAATCTAGAAACCGTGTCATAGAACAGTGCAATCTCACACAATGAAATGTAGCCATTGTAGCCCACAGGAGGAAATAAAAGAATCTCTAGAAAGAGAAGTAATAAGAACAAAACATAATAAAGGATACTGATTGAAAACAAAAGAAATGATCATTTGATACTGATATAATAGCTGATCAGAACATCAAGGATGCCAGAATATTTCAAGCTCCTTAGATGTTCTTTGGGAATTACATTAAATCGATCAAAAAGTTTTAAGAAAAAATAAAATTAAACTCACATGAGCAGTCATGCAGAAGATCAAGGGCTTTACCACTGATATAAACCTTCTGCATTCGGAGTATGATTACTCTTTGACAAACTAAAAGGCACTGAGATAAATTTCTAAGTTCTTACAGAAGTGTTTTTCACAAGGAAAAGTAGAGATAAGAGCCAAATGATCTGCACTAAAGTTGTAAGACATATTTATTAATAACCAAAGATGTCTAAGCAACTTTCCACAGCATCAAGGGTTAGACTGCCAAATGTAAAGAGAAAATCTGGTTTATGACAGAAAATGATGTGGTTATTCTTAGCAAAATGCAGGGGAGTCAATCCTTGGGTGGTACTTTCTTCTACCAAAGTTTAAATGGTTTGCCACTTTATTGAGCCTAGCTGCCATTCTATGAATATTACTTTTTACACAATGTGTAGAGAAAGAGAAAACCATATAAGGCATCTTATTTATAAATCAATTGGTATACCAAAGCTTCTTAACTGCTTAAACAATCCTTTTTGTCACTTGGAAATGCCTAGCTACCAACAAATCTTTCTCATCTTGAAAAAGAAGAGCAAGAAACTTCTACTAATTGGTAGAGTAGTTTTTGCAATATCTATAAATATAGACTTAATGGTATTTACGCCCCTGGAAACTCATCAAACAGATATCCTAAGCAGTTGAGAATCATCAAGCAGATACCCTTAAACAGTTGAGAACTTATATTTAGTAGGATTTCTAAAGCTTGAGGCTATCAGCTATGGTTGTTTCACTTCATTTTGCCAAAGACAAACTATAAGCATGGTTATATTTAATCACTATACTATATTTTTATATGGATCTTCCTTTACATCTAAAAGGGTTCTCACTTTTTTTGCTTTTCCAATGTAACAAGGGGAGAAGACAAAAGGGGAGGAGATTTGAAGTGATGGCAAAAGTTACTACTCACTTAATAGTTCCTTTATGTTTTATATGGAAAGGAAATTCTTTTAAATTAAAATGAAAAAGGAATTATATATATTTTTAATTTCCTACCAAATTATCTCTCTTTTTTTTCTTAATATTAGCATCAAGTCACCTCAATTTTATATACTTAATTGAAAATACTTAGCCAAAAAGTATTTGAAAAAAAAAAAACCTAAACTACTAAGGAATGTACTTGGTCACAATAAAGATAGAACCGGTCTACTATTAATTTGGGCTCAGACCAATCCAAACAAAACCAAGCCTAATCCCGAAAGAATTTGGGCTAGACCTTACCCGTGGCCCAATATCAGTTTATTACAACAGCTAGCTAGGGTTTTAACACATTTGCTGATTCCCTATATATCTCTCCACAGCCTCAGAAATCAAGGCTGCGGCTAGGGTTTCTCTCGTCTCTGGTAACATACACTCTCTGTCTCTCTCGTTAAACCCTCATTTACCGTACTTCACATTTCCTCTCAGATCTAACTCTAATGCTTTAATTCTTTTCATTTTCTGATGATTTGAAAACTTTGTTTTACAGGTAAATATTATAGTTTTATTCGTGGAAATAACAGAGATTCAGAGATGAGGTAATTTTAATTCTTCATTCGTTTTAATTGTTTGTTTCAATTTTATCTTTTGAGTTTTTGGAATGTATGCTGAATTTAAATGACCCAACTTTATATATCTGGTTCTAAGAAGTTCCTCTTTTTTATTTGTATCTTAGTAGTTTAATCTTGCTATTGATTTAGCGAACTTGAGTTATAAGAATTTGGCTCCTTTAGGTCATTTAGTCATTTGTTGTAGGATAATCTGTTGGGTACTATTCATCTGTGAAATGGGAAATGGCTTTGTTGTTAGGTATAATTAGTTTTTACTCCTATTCGATACTCATTTTTCAGCTCCTTGAGTAGGCTGGTTTTGTGACTTATTAGTATGGGATTGTGTATTGATGTCCTTAAGTGGATTGATGGTTTTTATTAGGGTTTTTTCTTTTTGTGTTGGAAAATTAGAAGGTTTTTAGAATATGTGAACTTGAACTATCATTAGCTGGTGGGGGAGTTGTTTGGATTGAAATAGTAAAGTCTAAAGCACTGATTTGAACTATGCATTATTTTTGGGTGTTCATTTTATGATTGTGAAATGTTTATGATGCCTACATTAATCCTTCATGATACTATTTATGAACCATGTGGTTGTTTATTATTCACTTGTTTGTAGTCTTCTTTATTGAAAGATGTTATATTTCTTATTTACAGTAAGCTTCAGAGTGATGCCCTTAGAGAAGCTATTTCCACCATTGTGGCTCAGTCCAAGGAAAAAAACCGTAAGTTCACTGAGACCATTGAACTCCAGATTGGGCTGAAAAACTATGATCCCCAAAAGGACAAGCGTTTCAGTGGATCTGTGAAGCTGCCACACATTCCTCGCCCTAAGATGAAGATCTGCATGCTTGGAGATGCTCAACATGTTGAAGAGGCAGAGAAGATAGGCTTGGATTACATGGATGTTGAAGCACTGAAGAAGCTAAACAAGAACAAGAAGTTGGTCAAGAAGCTTGCCAAGAAGTATCAGGCCTTTTTGGCATCTGAAGCTATCATCAAGCAGATCCCTCGTCTCTTGGGTCCTGGTCTCAACAAAGCAGGCAAGTTTAATGTTGGAGCATTGGTATTGCATCTGTTTTCAGCAATTTGTATGGCCTACTTGCCTAGGCATTCGCAGGGAGACTTAAGCTTATGCATTCTGCATTTGGCAGTTGTGATTTTTGGGTTGTGATCTTACATGGTCGAATGCGTGCACAAATGCAGGGAAATTCCCAACCCTTGTTACTCACCAGGAATCCTTAGAGTCCAAGGTGAATGAGACCAAGGCAATGGTGAAGTTCCAACTGAAGAAGGTTCTTTGCATGGGAGTTGCTGTTGGGAATGTAGCTATGGAGGAGAAGCAGATCTTCCAAAATGTGCAAATGAGTGTCAATTTCCTTGTTTCATTGTTGAAGAAAAACTGGCAAAATGTGAGTTTCCTTTGCTTTTGTTCATTTGGACTGCTTGGTTAATCCTTCCGCATAATTACTTCATGTCTTCCTTATAGTATATATCTTGGATTTTTGGAACTTTTTTCTTTGTTGAATAATATGATTGAATTTGTGTTGATTGCAGGTGAGGTGCCTCTACCTGAAGAGTACCATGGGCCCTTCAAACAGGATCTTTTGAGATGATATTTACTTTCTATTAGTGTTATGTACGGAGTGGAAGTGGTTGTTGGGATTAATAGTAAATCAGTTTTTTACTCAGAATGTTCAAATTTTGTGTTATGTTTTGTTGCTGGAATCCGTAGAAATATTATGAATTTGAGACCTTGGAAGTTTTGTTTTGCATATCAACTGAGTTTTTCCATTAATGTTAAAAATTTCAATCTTTCAATATTGCCTCCAGAAAATACATCCTCTACAAACAGTCGGCAGCCAAGATGGGTTAATGGCTACTGACTGCATTGCATGGTCTTGCTCTTTGGGACGATTTTTGGAGTGATTATGGCCTTTGTTTTGCTGTGGAAAACATTTGAGTTTTAATTTTGCTTTAAAACTAACGACTCCTTCGCAGAGTAGGAACATGGTGTTTTAATCAATTACTATATATAGCATGAATTTAAAATACACCTCGCATTCTTATTAAATCGTTTTGTTAATCATAATAATGTAAAGAATGAAAGTTACTTCCCAATTTCGCCGGTTAAGGAGAAAGAAGGAAAGGACAAGGAAAATGGGCCTGACGGCGAAAGGCTTTGGATCCCAAACGGTGCAACTATAGACGCACAAATGACAACGCTTCATGGTCATGGCTGGCAAAGAAAAATATCAAAACACAAAGAATTTAGGATTTCGAGTATGGGTTCGACTGGAAGAAATGGTCTTTTGCTGAATAGAGGCAGAAGCCTCGGCTAGCACCAAACTTGTTTGTTGTTACCAGGTGATTCTTGATTCCCCATCTTTATTTCGATGTTTGGTTTAATTCTACGGCAAGAGTCATGACCTCTTTCTTCACAGGGTAGTTATTGGGTTCGGTCGGGTCCAAGGGCAATTTGTGACGCCTTTCTCGACAACACTGTCATGAGTAAGTATCTACATTGCCATCGGTGGGCTAACATGGACTGCTAATGCAGTTTGCTGATTTTCTCGACGTAAGTCGTTTTCTTTTTCTGAGCGTAGGATCAGGAAGTCATTCGAGCTTGTTTCCTATTTGGAATTTTGTGAAATCTTTGATACTTCAAAAACTCTATTACCTTGGTGGGTGAAATCCCTTTATCTGCCATATTTAAGTAAAAGCTGATAGAAGATCGTAACATATGAGTTATGACCATCTACTGAGTTGGTGTTGGTTAATGGCATATTATATTAGACTCTCTTGAATTGATAAATGTTGTTCTCTCCTTGCTTTTTTTTTTTTCTTTTTCTGGACTGCAAATTGTGATGTGCTATTATGCACCTGACGCTTGTGCTTCTTTTTGGAAGAGCTAATAGGTTCGTTTGGTGGACCTTGATAAGAAAATTTAGATTCTTTTGACTAACCTTTTACCTGACTAGATATAAAACTTTGTTGGGTAAAGTTGAAATGGGTCAAGAGCAATTTGAGGTTAAGGAACCCCATCAGAATACTTGTTTTCCATTACTTTTCGTAAACCAGTGGTCCACTTGATGTTGTAGCAACATGAATTTTGAGGATTGAATTGAAGAGCTGAAGAAGAGATCAAAATATTATAAGAAACTGATTTGTTCATTCATAATATGGTTTCTGGTAGATAACTTAAAATGGCCACTTATTGTTTGTGGCGAGAGCAACGGAGAACTTCTGTTTTGTAAAGTTGTTTGTAACTCTTTCAGACAGCTCTCATTACCATATTGGAGTGGACCTGTTGACACATATATGATAAATTATGCAACCATTATTCACCTTCTAGAAAGATCAAGACCGTTAAAAGGAATGACAAACTTTTTCCATTTTCAATAAATGTCTTCAAGAAAAATAAATTACTATATTTCTTTGCTTGCTTGAAGTCATGCAAAGTACAAACAGGCTAAATTCTTGCCAAATTGGGATATAGTGAACCTGTTCTTTGCTGTTATTATCGATACTTCGCACCCTATAGTTAAGATTTCGTAGGTTTGTTTGATGTTCATTTAACTACAATACTAAAGAGGAGAATTCATTTTTCCTTCCCTTTGAATCTTGTTTTTCACATTGGTAGTGACACAAATAGAAATACAATTCATATTATGTAAAGAAAGTAATTAAGAAAGGAAATACACATGGTAAAGCCCTGCATAATTTAAATCTTATAGACTGATGTCTATCTTTTGGGTCAAAATCTCAATGCTATGGACATTTAATGAATTCTTTCTACCTTTCTTTCTTAATTTGACTCAGATATATGTCAATTCCCTCATAATATACAATTAAATACTTAGTAATAATAGAATTCAACTTGCTTGATAGAATGCACCGCATCTTAGTTTGTAATTCTTCAATGACATGTAAGGCTACTAGAAAATGGATGAGATAATGTTAAAGACAAAAGGGATATTCTTGGAGGAGATCATGTACTAGTGCTGATGTACTAGTGCTGATGTACTTGAGGCCTTGCAGTAACTATTTAAGATTTATATAAATCCATCGATTGGTAAAGGAAATTGTGTTGGCATTGTCACCTCCTTGTCCAGTTTCAGTTTCCATTGAAGAGGAGGGAGGCTGCAGAAGGGGAAGAAACATATGCTACGAGTGCATTGGAATTTTCTAGCCCCTTCCACATCTTCCTCTTGCACCTTCCACTTGTTGCCATCATTTAAATAATCTTGAGACCATTGGAAATAGTAACAATGGACTCATTTTCATGATGAAGCAAACTAGTCTTTCATCAGATATCTAGTAAGTCACTAATCCGATATGTGTTGTCAACAGTCATTGATAGGAGCAATACACTATCTTGGACTCCATAAAAGGTGTCGTGAATCATTTTGCTACTGACTGGAGGAAATAGTATTAGCGTGACAGGAAGAAAGTGGTTTTGTGATGCCAAAAGGGTGAAGAAAATGGTCATTGTGATCCCAAAAGGGTGGAACTCTTCTATTTTTTTTTTTTTAAAGAAAAGGGGTGGAACTCTTATACAAGGAGAGTAGCATGACATCATACTTATAGGTCTGTTTGAGACCAATTGTTCATGACTCTGTCTATCTTTTCGGTCAAAAAAGGTAGTGTTTTTCGCATTAATAGATCTTCCATCTATGGGTTCTTTTTTTCAAAGATGCAGAAATTAAGAATTCTAATATCAGAATATAAAGAATAGATAGAAGATACATTAATGCCAAAAACACTGCATTTTTTACCCAAAAGATAGACATAGGCATGAGAATACTATGGTATTTCTATAAGGCAACTTTTGCTGTATATCTTTGTCTTTTTTGCCAAGTATGGTATGTCTATATGTCTTTTGTGCCAAGTATGGCAAGTCTATAATGATTCATATGGAAAAACCATGTTTAGCACCAAAGACATATATGCATACCATACTTACATTATAGACATAAATTTTACCAGATTCAATTACATAATCTTTTCCTAGATATAGCTAATATATAAGCATGAGACTAAAGTCATTTTAGACATAAAATGGAAAGTCATAAAGATATCATATGACTATTAACTGGCATAGACCAACTCTAGCTGTTTTGAACCTTCCTGTGCGCTAATTTAAATTTAGTTGGCCCAAGCAGGTGGGGACACCCTTTCTTTCCAATTTGAGTCTATAAGATTTAAATTTTGCATGGCTTTACCATGTGTTTTTCCTTTCTTAATTACTTTCCCTACATAATATGAATTGTATTTCTATTTGTGTTACGACTAATGTGGAAAACAGGATCCAAAGGGAAAGAAAAATTATTTCTGCTCTTCGATTTTGTAGTTAAATGGACATCAAATAAACCTAAGAAAGCTTATCTATAGGGTATGAACTCTTGATAACAACAGCAAAGGACAGGTTTACTTCCCAAGTTGCCAAGAATTTAGTTCATTTGTATTTTGCATGAATTCAAGCAAGCAAAGGAATATAGTAATTATTTCCTTGAAGACATTAATTTGAAATGGCATAAGCTTGTGATTCCTTTTAACAGTCTTGATCTTTCTAAGACATGCTCAGTTTCCATTGTTTTTGTACTATCAAAGAGTTAATTAAAAACATAATCATAATAATAACATCATCATTATCTTACAATCTAGTTGATTGTGAATCTTTTCAAGGGAATTCTATCAATCAATTCAGGCAGAGAGTGGAAAGATAACCAATGCTATGAAACTGGTAGAGAGGTTAAGGCAGAGATTTGACTGGAACATATCTATATAGATTGAATAGATGCAAAGAATTGGTATCCTAATTGTTATGATTAGATCTTTGTGTGCTGTTACCACTTACCAATAATCAAGCTAGGCATAGGCACGATTACATTTTCATTCCTTGTCTCTCGCTTTCCTTGTTTCTTTCTTTTTACTTCCTTAGAAAAAATAAAAAAGCAAAGTTTGGATCGGTGAAAGAGAATGACTTTACCTACCTTGAAGCACCGTTTAAGTGAAAGCAAGATTCAATCTAGTTCCTTTAATATATTGTTGATATACTTTAGTAAGCTAGATGGAGTTTCATAGAAAAATAAGTTAACTTGATTGACCTTGTCGGATCCTGTATAAGACTTTTCTAGTTGAGTTGATCTGGTTTAAGCATGATTTGGGATTATGAACCCCAATCATAGTACTATTTTCCCATTTGCCTGTGACAGATCACTTATCTGGTTGATGCCTTAGCTGCAAATAGCACAAAATTTCTTGAAAGCTACAAGGGTTATAGTATGGTTTTGAGAATGGCTGTTTGTTGAGAAATATAAGAACACATACCATTATAGTATGGTTTTGGTAGAAAAGCAGCCACATATCGTTCATGGAGACACCAACAAAAATCTTATTTATAAAGTCAGTCATAAGTCCTATGGACAAATGGCGTCTTTGGATTGGGGTTAACACATCAACATTTTATGAATTATTCATCCACGTGTACTTGCTTAGTTTATATATTAAATGATTCATGTGCTTTAGGTTATTGGTGGACGGGATTTGGTTAACTGGTTTGGTTACCATTATTTATTACTCTAATTACACTTTTATTAATATAGCAACAACTAGAGGTGTTATTTGGGATATGAGTACCGCTCATTGCCCTGATGCTTGGTGCTGTGCAGGAAGTGGCATGGTTGCCCATGCTTTGCCAGGTTAGGCTGGCTATTTGTTTTCTTCTTTTTTAAAATTATGGTTTTTTTTTTATTATTTCTATCATACTAGTGACTTAAAATGGAAAATTGGTCATGTCATGCTTTGCCAGCCCATAACAGCTCTAAATAGAATATATTGTTGAATCAAATTTCAGACTATTGAGTTATTTAAATGGAAGAATGTTTAACCGTACTTTATGAGAAACTGGTACTCTAGATTTGGTGCACAAAGTATATATTGTAATCCAGTGTTTCAAAATTTTCTTTATAGAGGGTTTCACCTTCCTCAAAATATGTAAATCTGTTCCATAATGTGGAAGATGAAGACCAATTTCTCCATCTATTGTTTCACCTTTGTCCTGTTAAATTAATAAATCCTAATACTACAGTGTATGGTTCTAAAAAACTAAAGCAAAAAATTCAAATGCAGTTTCAGATTGATGATCTTCATTCTTGAAGCCATGAGATGTGCAATCTGGTTACATGACTTTCTTGTCAGTGATTACAAAGATTTACATGTCTGATTGAGAGATGCTCTTACCTATAGTATACTAGCATACAGTAAAGCAGCTGCTGTTTCTATATGCTAGCAGAATATTGAGTATGTGGTCACTCTTAAGCAGTCACATTGAGGCTTTCATATCTTTACTCAGCTGCAGAACACCTCAAAGCCACAATAGGCTGGTTTGCAAGCAAAGTTATCCTCTGTGGGACATCCATTAAAAATTGGAGCTTTACAAGGTGATAGCAAAAAGTAGAGAAACAGTCCTGATTTTTGCTGACAATCTGCACCTCTGACCCTTTTGAACAGAACTCAAGGTACAATTGCTAATCTCTCTCTCTCTGTGGGGCATTTTTTGATCGGTTTTGTTCACATTGGGTTGCAAAGGTGAAAAAGGATGTAGTTCTTAGATTTTCTCTTTGTGTTCTCTTGAATAGTATATAGGAAACGCTCATAGTTAAGATTACTTTGTGTTAGACTTTTCCTTTTTTTCCTTATCATGTTGTTACAAACTATATAGCAGTGCATTGATCAATTTTTTGGATTCGGCTGATGTTGAAAGAACTTTCTATTCTGGATTCACATGGAGAAATTGAATCTTGAAGAGGTAGGAAAAGCACAGAGCATTGCCTACATATGGGCCTTACCATTTCCTGCATTCTAATTTATATTTCTTTGGTGCAACCACGTGGCAGGTTTAGTTGCTTAACTGGTCATCCAACCAGCATGAGTTTATGCACTACAGCTGCAATCTGTGCATATTCTTCTATCGCCATCTTCTTAAATGCTATGGACTGTGTTTCCGAAGTTAGGCCTCTTCAGTTATGTGTTTAGAAGGATAGACATTACCAAGGAAATTGCTTCAATTGACTTCTGTCACAAATTGAATAGAAAATTTTGCCCCCAAAAATTTCTCTTCAATTTGAGCAAAACAACAAAGAAAATTTAAGTCTCATTTAAATCTGCTTGAGATATATAACAAATTGATAATTTCATTCATTTTTTTTATTTTTCTTTACCAATAGATAAATTAATCAAAAAACTAACAATATGAAATAATGACAAAATCTAGGAAAATGTTAAAATATTTCAGAGGATTATGAGACAAATCAGCTTTAGATCTGGGTAAAGCTCAAGCTATTCTTCCAGAAGTGACTGTTCTGCAATAGCAAACCTATGGCATATTATCTTAGAGAATTAGACTCATCCTTTGCATTTATCTACATTATTCTTTCCCTTTTGTAGTGCCAATTGTTTTGAAATGCTTACATTGATGTGCTATTATGCAAAAGACCTTATTTTTCTTTGGAAGCTAGGTTCAGTTGAAGGAAGCGAAGGCCTAGGATGTAGACTGTCAATTAATAACTTGTCAAATTTTAATTAAATCATATTATCTACTATTTTTTTTTTAAGGCACCGGTAGCCAAAGAAATATGCAAAAGTGAGACGTGAGCCTTCACTAAAATGCCTCTAAACTATAGGGGATGTTGTTGTTAAGTCATTTCTACTTAAAGAGCCAAAACCAGGAGGGATATTTTCTTCTTAGGAAGAAATAGAACATTATGTTTCTACCATTTAATAATTCTAACAATTTGTAGGACTTTCTAGTTCATTGTTCATAAAAAATGAGGTTTCTGAAACATACTGAATGGAAAAACTACATTGAGTGCAAGCTCTCTATTGGAGTGTTTATAGATTATGAGATCTAAACCTGATCATCTTAGTGGTTCTTGCCCCTAAGAGAAACCATCAGGGCAGAGAATTTAGAGGAGATGCTGCATCAGAACTTGGTTTTGTTTTAGCCCCTCTTATAACTGTCCCTGGGATTGCAAAGCCTTATATGGTGAAGCAGTTGGATCAGACCTAACTTATTTCCTTGCACAATTTCAGTTTCAAATGAGGAGGGGTGACATAATGTGTGGAATGAGATATGGTGGAAGTGCACTGCAGCCACAGCTATCACTTCTTCACCATCCTCTTCCTTCCCTTTACTATTCCCCTTGCTTGCCCACTATCATGATATGCCTCCATCTGACACTTTTATCAGTGAGGCAACTTTGATGATGTGGCAAATATTCTCTTTGTAAGCTACAGTCCTTACTCCTAACAAAATGAGCTAGGATTGGTAGCTACATCTGGTAAATCACCAATTTGTCATTGCTCCCATGTTTGGCGACATCCTGAATAACATTTTTGTTTTTACTTGGGGATTTATCATATCAGAGGATACAATCAGGACCATAATACTTAAGTAGAGAGGACTTTTGCATGATAGGACTAGCTGAGCTTCTTACTTATAGGGCCTTTAGAGGCACCAGCTGTAAAAAGTTGCCATGAACTTGCTTTCCATATATGAGTTCTTGCCTTGTAAAAAATACTTTCCTTACGGTCATTGAAGGCATATGATGATATACATTTATATAGCTTCCATGTATTGGGTTTTTGTTGTCCTTACAGAAAACAGGTAAGGAGTTCTTGTAGGTCCCATGCAGAGTTGGCTTGTTTGTATCGGAGTTGACACTTACCGATTACATAAACTGCACATTAATCATATGCCATTACAAGTTTAAAAGGTTGCCTTGCCTTTTGTTCTTCCTTTTCTTTTTTCCCTTTTTACCTTGTTAGTACTGCACTGACATGTTTTCCTATATCTTTTGAAAAAAAAATGAAAAAGGAAAAAAAGTTATCACACTTCTAAGTTCTAATACAGATGGTCTATACACAATGGAGAAATGACTAATGCATGGATTTTTTCTTGTGTACAAAGAGCATTAGCTGCTATAAATCAGTTACAGACTGGCCTTACCATGCTGAGCAAAAAATAAAAAAGACTGGCCTTACCATTTCTTTCATTCTAATTTATATTTCTTTGGTGCAACCGGGTGGCAGGTTTAGTTGCCTAACTAGTCATCCAACCAGGGTGAGTTACGCACTACAGCTGCAATCTGTGCATATTATTATATTGCCATCTTCTTAAATACTATGAACTGTGTTTCCAAAGTTTGGCCCCTTCAGTTATGTGCTTAGAAGGATAGACATGACCAAGTAAATTGTTTCAATTGACTTTTGTCACAGGTTGAATAGCGAATTTTGCCCACAAAATTTTCTCTTCAATTCCATCAAAGGAACAAAGAAAATTCAAGTCTCATTTTAATCTTCTTGAGATTTATTACAAATTGATAATTTCATTCATCCTTGTTTTTCTTCCTTTTCCAATAGATAAATCAATAAAAAACCAAAAATATGAAATAATGACAAAATCTGGGGAAATATTAAAATATTTCAGAGGATTATGAGACAAATCAGCTCTAGATCTGGGTAAAACACTCATAGTGAACTGAATAACTGATGTCAAAAAGAAAGGAACTTGACTCATTTATCCAATTCCAGGATTAGATAGAACGTTAGATATGTGTATTTAAATCATATTTACATGTTGGACATCACACCCTGTGTTTTTTTTATCAACAATCAAAATGGTCAAAGAATCAAAGTAGCTACCAGCATCATTCCTTCTTTTTCTTTCTTTCATCTTTAAATTGAGATGTTGGTTTCTATAGAGAAGAATAATACTCCCTGTCCTTCACTTCAATTCTTGTAATAGCTAGATTTAATCTCATTATACCGCAGATAGAGTTTGGTAAACTAGACAGAGCTTCAGGTTCAAAGTATTGACATTATAATTATACACCTACCTGTTTCATTTTGGATGTCATTGAGTTGAGTTGAACTAGTCCATGTGTAATTTGAGGCAGTAGAGAGCCTTGGTTGGTCTCCCTTTTGCTTCAGCTGCAACATTGATTCAACTTTTGCTGGATTGAAGAAATTTCTTGAGACAAGCACCAAACAGAATCAAACCTAATGCTGAAAATGATGTTAAGGAATGTGAAAAATTGCATGTATTCATGTTGCATATTGTATATAGTGAGCAGGTTGAATGGTCAGGGTTTTTCATATTTAACACATATTGAGAAGCTCATTTTGTATAATTTTCTGTGACTTTTTAGAAAAAATTGGCATCCTCGATGGCGATGGATACGTTTGCATATCATAAATTTTCTGACCAAATTGCACTGAATTTAAATACAAACATAATTCCGACGTTTACATACCATAAATTATAATTTACGTATTTGTTAGCTCTTTCTGGTTGGAGTTGTCATGTTAGCATAGCAATATGTATCTGTCCGAATATCTGCTAACCAATTCTAAAATTTTCAACTATATCTTTCACAATCTTACAGAAAAGTAAGAATTCATTATATAAACACTATAATAACCTACAATGGGAATCCTGGGATGAAAAATATGCAGCTGTCATTGTTTTATGCCTTCAGCATGTTTTGCCCCATTTTCAAAATGTCTTTGCCTTAAAATGGATATCATAATAATTCATCGTTGAAGTTTTCTCCTCAAACATAGCAATAATATTGTCAACTATTGAAATAAGTTCAATTATCAACTCGGCAGGTGAAAGTTAAATAAATATGGCAGGAATACAAAATCTTGGTTTAAACTGTTGTCCTTCATCTCTTTGCATCCTGTGAAGAAAACTGTTTAGCTTAGTTACAGAATGGGGCACGCATCATCATCCTCCTCCACTGTGGTATACCCTACTTCTAAAATTGACACAATTTTATCTCCAGTTCTTGAGTGTTCTTTTTCTGGCCTATATGTTTTATAGTTTGTTCTGAATATCTTTGTTGCAGGTCCTCCTTTTATGATCCATTGAGATTGAAAACTATGATCCCAAAATGCTTTGCTGCACATTTTACTATTAGAAACCTGGAAGTGTCTATGTGGCATTAACTGGTTGTATATTTTGTCACAACACTCTTGTCTATGCCAGCATAAACTGTGTTTAATTCTTTCTTAACTTAAACCAAATTTAGATCTTGGAAAATGGTTAAAATTCTTAAGTAGATAATAACTCATCGGTTCTTTTAATTCTTGTCACAGTTATCATTTGAAATCACGTATGGCTAAAGATGAAAGGAAAAAACGACTGCATCAGATGCAAGCCTAAACTTCACAGGTATGTCTTTGGCCAACCCTGGCTGCTACAGTCTTCAACTAAGCACATAGCCTCCATTAGTGGAAAAGGAAGAGCATTAGAAGCAGTGGCTACAGTTAATGGTAGTAGTACTTTTTATCTGCAAACTGTTTTAGAGCTGGTAAGTGATGCTAGAAAAAAATTTGAGGAGCATGATTACGCCTTTGAGGCAATGGCTGAATTATCGATGTAGTTTGTGTTGAGACTTTGGTTGAATATACTGTTAAAGCATCTTATGAGAACTCCATTTGGTCTCTAATTGGATTGCCTTTTGATCTGTGTTCATGTAATAATGCACTAGTTTAGCAACCCCTCTCTAGAACCAGTTCCAGAATCTAAGCAACATTAAAAAAAAGTTGGAACGACCATTGCAATTGGCTGAGTAGTAGAAGAATGGATAGATGCTTGGGCCCATTCCATTCCCCAAGGGTTTCTACATCCACGTTAGTTGCATCATTGCATTTGCTGACTTGGTTCCTGTCCTGTTATTTTGACTGTACTAATGGTGATCCCGGCACATGCTGTCGGGCTAGCTGGGAAATGGTAAGTAAAAAATACTTATACCAAGGAAATTTGGAATGCATTTGTATACAAGCACTTCCCAACTTCCTCAGTGTAAGCCTACCTATGAAGCAGCACTCATGTAAGATGAACACTTGATAACATTATGCATTCATATAAAAATATCAATAAATTGTGTTCAATGGGGTGGCCAAACGGCATTGCCTACGGGCTTTGTCCCATGCAAGAGACACCAAGATGGAATAATGCTGGAAAAGGGAATAGTCAGGCGGCTCGTGGCGTAATGAAAGAGTCGTCTGTCGGGCTGTTTAAGTGATGGCATTGGTTGGGTCCTTCCAGACCACCTGAAGGACAAATCTGTATTTTTTAGTAAATTTAAATTAAAAGAAAGCAACTAGACATCAGTGTACCACTCTCCATTTATTTTAATATTTCCTCTTTTGCAACCGACAGGGTACGGATCCCACACCAACGGTTTTTTATTACCACTTAAAAAAGTTGTGCATGCATGTTCAAACGCCAGAGTTGACTGATTAAGGACTTCAAGATTCTTAAATGCAGAGATGAGACACTACAAGGAAACCGACCTTAGCTCAGTTGGTAGAGCGGAGGACTGTAGTGGGATAACTCCAGAGCAATCCTTAGGTCGCTGGTTCGAATCCGGCAGGTCGGAACTTATCATTTTCTTTTTTGCTTACATTATTTAGAGTTGTAAAGGGATAAAATATAAAACAGAAAATAATTATTTAACTAATTAATTCATCAAAATAGAATAAGTAGCCAAAATACTTATTTAATTGATTAACTCATCGAAATAAAATAAGTAGCCTTTGTTAAACCTTACCTCTTTTACCTTAGAATGCTCACAAACCATTATATGTAGCAATAATTCTATCATTATTGATTTGAGATAGGTTGAGATTTATACCTGTTTTCCAAATATAGAATGGTTCCAATCAAAATTAAAAAATTGTTAATAATCCTTTATTAGGAAATAAAGGATTCCATAAATTATGTCAAATTCAATGCATCAATCATTTTTTATTTAATACGATTGAATAACTTATTTATTCTGAAATTTTAAGTACAAAAAATAAGTATCAACCTTGAAAATGACAATGTAATTTGTTCGTTACATTTTTGTTATATATATTAATACTACATGAAAACGTGCAAGCCAAGAAGAAAGGTTTAATTTAAAAAAATAAATTATAAATTATTTAAAAAAATTTAAAAAAATATATATTTTATTACATTCAATTTAATCTTTATATTTATATTTTAAATCAAATAAATTTTTATAATTAATAATTTATTAATTAAAATAATATTTATCATTTTATATTTACATAACATCATGAAAATATTATATAACTATATTATCATATCACACTAATATGCCATGTCATTATCTATCAATATATATCAATATACCATCTTAACAGTGACATCACCTTAAACTTTAAATTTTAACATTTTAATTAATAATAGTTAGTTAATTATTAATTATAAAAATTTATTTAATTAAAAATAAAATTATAAAGATTTAATTAAATAAAATAAAAAATAATAATTTATTTAAATAATTTTAAATAATTTATTTTTTTAATATTATGACTTAATTATTTTTAAAGGAAAGTATAAAATGATAAAAGAGCTTAAGAAATGAAGGTGAAAATGAGTAGATCTCTTAATTCCATTCCCAAATTTTGATTAGGCCTAATAAATTTTCAATTAGGAAAACCATGGGCGTCTTTTTTGCTCTGCCCGTCGGCAAATGCCAAAGGCCAAATCCCCCAAACCCGCAAAGCCAGCTTTCTCCACTTACTATAAATATAAACCACTTTCCCAAGCGCTGACCATCGTCACCAATCCATCACTGTTACTAGTATATTAGGTTTCTAAACACTCCAAACTTAGATCCCCTCGTATTCTCCGCTCGCTATCACCACCCCAAACCCCCTCAGTAAGCGCTCTCTCGCGTCTTTTTCTCCCATTTCTTTATCTTTGCATGGACATCGTTCTCTCCATTTCAAAGAATTTTTGTTTATTATCTGTTTTTAACTTTGACGATTCCTTGTTTCTGCTATCTGGGTTTTTGTTTTGTTCTTCTTGTTTGGTCTTTCCCAAACTTTTTTTTTTGTTAAATTATGACCCTTTTTTTATACAGGAAGAATAAGTAGTAGAGGCATGATATTTGAATTTTTCTTTATAGGCGAAAATGAAATTTTCATATTTTTGATTTGGAAATGGTTGAAACTTGAAACCCGAAGAAAATAAAAGTAATAGCAATTTCATGGGCTGCTTGTTAATTGGTGTAAACCAAAGGAGGTGTACTCAACCTTAAGACCAACAAAAAGAAAAAAGGAAGAGAGAGAGAGATAAAATCGACCCATGTAATATAGAATTATTTATTTTGGTTATTGAAGGGTAAATTTTGTATTCCTGCACAATAAGAGTATGGGAATATGATAAAATCATTCATTTTGGCTGATTTTATGCGGTTAATCATTTACCAAGAAGATAGTTGGAGATAATCTATATATCACTGTTTGCTTTTGGTTATTTTCAGTGTTTGCTTTTTTCTTGATTCTAAGGTCGGCTATTCTCTTCTTTTTGTCTGTGTTAATACTTTTTATGAAATAATGGACTTGTCTGTTGATGGGGTCGATAAAATAGTGAACTTGTTTGCTAAGTGGATTGGTTGTTGAGGTGGATGCATTGGGCTTCACTGTACCAGTGTGTAAAAATGATCTTTTGTTGGATCCTTGGACGATTGAATTGAAAATGGCCCTTACCTTGATTTTCAGGAGTGGTGCATTCAAGACTTGGAATTTGTAAAAGAGAGATGTTTTTAAGCAACCGCAAAGTGTAGTGGATAGTAGTCAAAGCTTTTGCATTACAGCAAGTTAACTACCTGTGACTTATTCATATTGTTGACTCATAATAAGGTGTCTTTTGACTTGTTATTGATAGGAATTGAGAAATGTTCAAATAGTATTCCATCAGGTTTAGTCTTTAGTGCATCTTGGAGACCTTCCTAGTTTACTTTGTCAGACATGTTGTTGATTCTTGCTTTGTGCCTTTCAGCAAGTTTAGAATATGTTCGTTGATTTTGAAATCTGTGCTACTCAAAATGAGATAGGGCAAAGAATTGGGCAATAAGTATACTGAGCTTGTAGGAACAGCCTACTTTGGTTTGCTTACAATGCATTTCCGTTTCTTTAATAAATCTTCTAAATGCTCTTGGTTTCTGCTTGTTCTATTCTGGGATGTGAAGAAAGGGGGAAAGGGGATAAAGAATTGATTTAAGAGTATGATATCAAAGATTAGCTGAGTTTTCTAAGACTTATCATGAAGGTGCACCATGAAATCTTCATCTAATGTTCGTTAATGTGGGTTTGTTGAATGGAGCTTCGAGTGAAGAGCAGAGAGCCCTTAGCTAGCCTCTTCTCATAGTGCTCCAGACATTAATTGTCTTGTTAATACAGAAATGGATTGTATGGTTCTTTTTCCATGTAGAGTATTAACAAGTTACAACTTTAGTCTCATAACATTGAGGATAATGTTGTGAAGGTGTTTAGAAGCATCCAATAATAATGAGCCATAGATAAAAAAAACTTTGTGCTTCTCTTGGAACTCTGGATAATGGTTGTATGATCTGTCATACCTTCAATCGTGTTATATGTTTGATCATGAGCTAGAGAAATGCAATGAACCAAGAGAATGTCATTCCATACATAAGCATACAATGTTTTTATATCTAGGTAATGTTTTTCCATGACAATATACATAAGCACAATGCTTTTCTTTTGTCACTCAGAACTTAATGATGCGTCCATCCTTCTCTTCCCCAACTTACCCTTCTTTCTTGAAACTGATATTGTATATAGCTTCCATAAATCACAACCAACTACTATAGTCTATTATGTTGCTTGCGATATCAAAGCTAGATTTAACAGCTTATCAAATGTTGCTAATAAGTGATCATAATTTTTAAGTTATTGTCTCAGAACTGGGGTCTATTTCTTTAGCTTTATCTGGTTTTAGACACAGCCTTTCAGCTATGTCATTTGGTAGCAGGATCATCCTGATTGGCTCCTGTATGATTGAAATTTTCAATTATATGTAGTTTTTTAAAATGCTTGAATATTGCAGCCACTTGTATGACAGTGCATTTTTTCTCTTCATTTTTGGTGGACTAGTAAAATCACCAAGGAAAAAACATTCTGACAATTGCTATTTGGATTCAGGAGTAAAGATGACAACTGTGAGTCTTACCTCCCCTTGTATTGTTAAAGCTGCAATCCCTAACCGATTTACAAGTGCTATTGTCAAGGCCCCAACATCTCTTGGATCTGTTAAGAGCATCTCTAAATCTTTTGGCTTGAAATGTTCTTCCAATTACAGAGCATCAATGGCAGTGTACAAAATTAAGCTTGTTGGTCCAAATGGTGAGGAATGCGAGTTTGAAGCCCCTGATGATAAATACATCTTAGATGCTGCTGAGGAGGCAGGAGTTGACCTGCCCTATTCTTGCAGGGCTGGAGCTTGCTCCACATGTGCTGGGAAGATAATTTCAGGTTCAGTGGATCAATCTGACGGTTCCTTCCTTGATGATAAACAAATGGAGGAGGGATATGTGCTGACTTGTGTTTCATACCCGACCTCAGACTGTGAGATCCACACTCACAAGGAAGGTGATCTCTACTAAGTATTTTGTGGTCAGAAATGAGCAGGCTGTCTCAAGTTTGTTGTCTAGAACTCTTATCTAAATTTGCTACCAGTGAGGGTAAATGCTCTCACGGACAATTTGTTGTCTAGTGTTCTTTGTAATGTTTGTGGTTGAATTGCATATCTCAGTCTAGAATTTCAATCACATTTCTGGATTGCCATAGTTGGAGAATGGTCCTCTTGAGCTGCCCATATTATCTCTATAAACAGGAGAAAAAAAAATTGCCACAGTTCATAAATTTTATCAAGGGAAGACTGGTTACAATAAGCATTCGATGCCCAGGTGTAATATGAAATACTTGGGTTGGAAACTTGGAATAGCCCTTTACATTTAAATATCAAAATGCATTAATATTTGAGACAATCGTTCGCCAATGCATTCTAAACATAGTAATAACTGAATGTTCTTACCGGTAATAATTGGATGCATCAATTGATAATTAAATCTACCCAAAATTGAGTACTGACTACATGTCCTGCATGTTGAGTTTAATACAAGTGTCTCTTGGCTTGTGGAAGAAAGGCAGCTTTCTTTCTTCTCAAATCTCAACCAACAATAATTATAGACCTAGGACATGTAAACATCAAAGAAAGACATTCTCTTAAGAAACTTGTGGAAGAAAGAAGAGAGGATACAATAATTGGGCTCATTGCTAAGCTTTACTTTTACACATTGAAAAAGTTTCATTCCCAAGACGGAAAAGAAACAGAACTTCCATATCCATTGCCGTGTAATTACTTTCTGTTCTTAAATCAGCTTATCTATCTCATACCAAAGAAAGTACAACCCTCAATCAAAGTAGAGGATATGAGAGCATGAGACAAAGCTGAGGATGTGTATTAATGGTTGTTAATTTTCCTTGGTGGAAAGACCAGGTGGACCAGAATTTTCACTGGACTTTCTATAAGAAAAGAAGACGTTTGAATCAATAATAAAGCACCTTTGCATTGACCACAATTCCACTAAACAATGATGGAAAAGTTTATTCTCCTTGTACACCTAGTTCTAGGCTATTCAAAGTTGGAGGACCTTTCAAATTATCAAAAGCCCAGACATGGTTTTCTTCCCATATATATCAGTACATGTATAAGTTCAGGTTTCTGTTTTTTCCCTTGTTGAGTGATCTTGAATCAAAATATTAAAAATAAAAATGCATTTGAAAAGGAAACTAAGGATTTTCTGTTTGACTCAAAACAACAAATATATATATAATTGAAATGTATTTTCTTAAAACAAGATTGGAAGATGTTAAACTTAATAATCAAATGATAAAGAGACGCAACATATATCATCCCTCCAAAAGAAAGTTTTGGTCAAGAAAGATTATCATCCAAGGGTTGAAACTAAAGCAAAATGGTTGGAAGTGGAGGGCCTTGTAATCCCAAGAGTGCTCAATGAAGGATTATGTGTGAGAGGAATTGATGACTCAATACTCATCACTAATTTCATTTCCTTCAACATTCTTCTCCTTTTCTTTTCATTCACTTTTCCATGCAGCTCCTTCTCTCAGTGGGCAAAAACCCTTTTTCAAGTGGGACAAGCGTTTTTCCATGGCGACTAGATGCCTCACCATATTTCCACATAATTTCCAAAGTCCCAAAATATGCTAACTTCCATGTAATGTCACTGCATTTTCATGCATGCACTATCTTCACTTGTGGGGTCTTTTTTTTTTTTTTTCTCAGAAAGAGTCAACATTTATGGGGAAAAGATAGAGAAAAAGTTATCCTACACACACATACACATATATACATAATAAGAGACTTTTCAAGAGAAAAAAGTTGTGACCTTTTACATGGAAAAATGGTCTCGAATAAGGATCTTTTGAAATCTATTTCTCACTTTTATAGCATTTTGAGAATTATATTCTTTTCTAGAATGAGAGTAAACCAAAAGTTCATTATATTTAAATTCAGCTTTTGGGTTTATAAAAAGGCCACAATAGCTTTTGTAGAACCTAGCCATACACATATGATTTGCTTCATCTTCTAACCCAGGGAAAGGGCTGGGTTGGAGAAATAAATAAATAAAGAGAAGAAAGTGGCCCTAATATATCTTAACTTATTTCAGAACTAAATATTAAAAAAAAAATTCTGTGATTTTATTATCTAAAACTAATTAATGAAGACAATATAGGTGAAAGGTACACCATCTCCATCTAAAGATTATCATTTATCAATAAAGTCCTCGAATTCATTGTTGGTTATTGGCAACTTGGTTTCTTATTATTACTTTTTACAGTACTTGGCTTTCACGTAAAGGTAAAGAATAATAATTAAGCTAATGATTTCGCCTTGAAAACTAGTTTGCTGGACATACATACCTTAATTACTTTTCCTTTCGTGGTTTAGGTAGCAAACCATAAGAATATTATAATGCCAAACTAATCTCTAAAACAAATAATATTTTAATTTGTCAGCTAATTTTCCTTAGGCCTTGTGAGAAAATACAATGAATGGAGCATATCTATTTCTGCATAAATGATGATGTAGAATGTTTTAAAATTAAATAAACAAATAGATACAATTGTTGTCATTTTTCGTGTTTATAGCTTACTATTAAGTAATATTTTAAGGAACAAAGCACAAATTATGTCATACTTTCATCATAAAGTCATTTAGTTTCATGTAAGAGATTAATATTATTTTTCTAAATAAATATTTTATGTTATATGATCAATGAAAGTTGACTTACATGGGTTGAGCTATATGTACCTAACTAATTAGTTGATGGTTCAAACATCACATACATATATACATATATATACATAGACTATAATAGTAATATTTAAATTAATTAATTATTTAGTTGTATTGATACATAGGAGTGACTTATGTTTAAAGTACAGCAATATTAATTATAAACGCTTTATATATGTTATGCAAATCAATCATATTTAAAAATGAAAAAATCTAAATTGAGAGTATATATATAAACACAAAAAATAATTATCTTTAATAATATTTACAAGCTATGACTCTTTATGTCTTGTTGGACGAATACAAACAATAAATGTAAAATAAATTAATAATACGTTTTAAAAGCATTATTATTATTATTATTATTATTATTATTATTAAGTGACATGTGAGAGAGTGAGATTGAAAATTATGGTAAAGTAAGAAAATTGTGAGTACATAGAATGCATGTTACTATATCTATTGCAATACAGTGGGATTTTGAAAGGAAAAAGACTAAAATTTTACACGTTTTTCTTACGAAATTTCCACTATCATCTCTTAACTTTACACCGACTACTACATAGAATATTAATATTTACTTCTTTTTCTAACAAATGTCATTATATATATTAGTGTAATAAAATCTCATTTTTCCTTTTTTTCTTTTCTAAATAAAACTTAAACCCTACATTAAACACAAACTTGAGAACAAGGAAAGTGCAAATATCATATGCCAAACATATACTATACTCTTTTCTCAAAAGTTAAATTTAAAATCCTATGGAGAGCAATTGAAACCTGTTGTTGGCAGCCGCGAATGAAATTAAGAAGGTGGTGGTGGTGGTGAGTAATAGTAGTTGTTTCTTAGTTTTTTTTTATTATATGTATAAAATTTAAAATATATAATTTTGTTAGGTCTTTAATCACTTTTTATGTAAAATTTTAAAGAGGAAATTATAAAGTAGTCAACTTTATAATATTATTTTTAAAATAATTTTTAATATAAAATTAATTGTTTTATCCAAATTTTATCATGAGTTGACAAAAATATACTTTAAGTCATTTTAGATAAATTAAACTATTTATCATAATTTCTCTTTTCATTTTTCTCTCCCACATCTGTCTGTGCTGTTGATTTCTCTTTCTTACCATCTAGCTCTCTTCAATTTTATCTATTATGCTTTCAATTTTTCTCTCCCACATCCCTCTACTGTGCTACCAATTTCTATCTCTTGTTATCTATCTTTGTTTAAAGTTATTACACGTCATGCTAGCATGTAACAACTCTCATGCATTTGACGTGTAACAAATTTATTAAATATGACATGCTTTAAATATGTCTTTGTAATGTGATATCTACTTTTATATTTTATTAAGATATAAACTCTTGAAATTAAACACTTTAGACATAACGTGTAACAACGTGATGTGTAATAATTTTTTAGAAATCTATTGAATATGGCATGTTTTAAACATGTCTTGTAACGTGATATATATCTTCGTATTTCATTATAATATAAACTCTTGGAGTTAAACACTTTAGACATAGCATTTAACAATATAATATGCAATAAATTTTTTTAACATGACATGTAACTTGGTCTCTATCTTTGTATTTCATCAGAACATAAACTTTTAGAGTTAAACACTTTAAATATGACATGTATCAACTTATTTTCAACACGATATGTAATAATATTTTTTAAATATGACGTATAATAATATTATTTTTTAAACATATTGTGTAATTTAGTCTCAATCTATATATTTTACTAAAATATAAACTTTTAAAGTTAAATACTTTAAATATAATGTATAATAATATTTTTTTCAACATATGCACTTAAATATGAAAAAGTTTTATTAAAAATAATTTTATTTTAAAAAAATTTCACTAAAAACAATTAAAATTAAAAATATTATTTTTTAAAAATACTTATGATTTGAGAGGGAGAACTGATTCTTATTTGTAAAAATTGGAGGGTATTTTTGGAAAAAAATTCGGACGCAAATAGAACACGTGCGGCTGCTGAGGTGTCAACCGACCTACGTGATGAAAGCGAGGGCGGCGGTGGCAAACACGTGCGCTCAACTTCAAGATTCGCGTCAGCACCAAAGAACATATATATATATATTTTATTTTGTGTTTTGAAAAAGGGGCGGTAATTAATTGATAGTAATTTCCCTTTCAGATCCGACCTTGGCCGTATCACTTTTTAGACCTTGGAAAGTCTCTTTCTTCGGTTTTTTTGTCCTGCCACCCATTTCTGTCAATCCAATCAAAGATATTCTCTGTCTGACACCTGTAACATTGCCACCACGTGAATGAATATAATTGGTCACCTGGTGGTTTGGTAGCCTAAATGCTAAGATTCTCAATGGAGTGCCACCATTTGCGTACGTGGTTAGGTTCAGCGAATATAACACAGTAATTGAAGAAACAAATATTAATCAATTCAAGAGTATCCTCTTTAATATGATTGTCCATGAGATTTAATAAGTCAAGCTCTCGTGTTTTTTACTTAAATATTTATTATAAAATTTAATAAATAGAATGCAAACTCATATAATTCAAGAAATACATGAAAAGAAAGAAGCATCTGTACCTTTTGCAGGCAACCCTCAAAATAAAGAGAGCATGTTATTTATTACAAGTTGTTCAATTGATTCCTTTTGTAATGTTGGGTCTTTAGCAAACAAGAATTTATGATTATGTTTACATGTTTAATGTGTTATTACGAGAAATTATTGGAACTTATACATCTTGAAATCGATTTTTTTTCTTACGTAATATATACAGGATCTACACAATATTATTAAAATCAAGTGATATTATAAATTTATTAGTAAGACCGATTGTTATTATGCAAAGAGCCGTCACGCATTAATATTCCATAATAAAATTATTGATTGTTGTAAAGAATGTAATTTAAATATATAAAGGTAGGATTGTATGGTAGTATAAGAATAGATTAAGACTACATAAAGGGGAGATTCTGTGCCTTTGTGTATGAACACTTGCAACAAAGTTTACCTTTAAACGCAACATTACATGATAATAATAGGATGCCTTTTTTTGACCTTTTGGGTTTAGACAATTAAAGGATTTGACCATCTGCTTGTATGAATTCAATAACATGAGGGAAGATGAAACATACACTCAAAAGGTTTTTATTGGGTACAAAAGAGATGATGCAAACTCTTATACCTCCATGAACAACAAAGTTACTTACAAGGGCCAATAAGAACATAATTAGTATATTTCATGGCCAGCCAATAAATTTGAAAAATAATAAGAAAATAAAACAAAAGAAGTCAAATTAGAAAGGACCTTCATAAATGTACTAACAACTTGAGATATTTATATGTGTCTTTTTCTATTCCAATAGCGACTTACACAAAGAGTATCTAATAAGAGATGATGTGAAGTTTATATCATCAAATTTTTAATTATTTAAAAAATTTAATAAAACACGTGATAAATAAAAAACGTAATAAAATATATCATAAATAATTATTTTATAAATAATATTATAAAAATATATAAAAATTAACATATCAAATAAATTATGAACAATCCATACATGAAACAAAATTTTTTTACGTGACACCATTTTACGAGAAAGAAGAGAAATCTTCCTACTAAACTTTGGATTAGAAGAATGAGTTGAATCCTCTCGGGCACTTGGACTTAGCTTCTCAAAATTTTCTTCTCCGACAGCTAATAAAATCATTTTTAAATTTTTATATATAAAAAAAAAGAACAGGGGCAGATATGGAAAATCAAATGACTATGTCGGTAAACCACCTGAAACAAGGTTAGTTAAAATAATAACAATAAAAAACTACCAGACAGTGATCAATTCCGTGTAAGAACTACTGTTCATGTAAAATCCATAAAAAATTACTATTAAAAAAAATTGCTATTCTCTTATTACAGAGGAGAGAGGGGGAGAGAAAGAGAGAGAGAGAGTACGTTGGTGAAACAGAGGTAACAGAGGGTTCTGCGTAATATAAAGAGAGAGAGAGAGAGAGAGAGAACGTTTAGGTGGCAGATGAGACGTCGTCGCTGAAAGGGGTTGGTTAAGGGTCGTGGTCTCAGCCAAGATCAGATCAGTTATGGCTGCCTGTTCTCTTCTCTTCAGACTGCTTTTAGTTCTTCTCACTTTCTCAGGTTTCTTTTTCTTTGTTTCAACCGTTCTCTCATTTCATTGTTGAGTTGCTGAATGAAAAAATGCTCAAAAGATAACAACACAAAGGAAAAGAAAAGGGAAAACCTTTTTGGTTAAAGTTTCAGAGTTTCCTCTTTTTTTTTCAACTAGTAACCCAAGAATCAAACTTACTCTTTTCCTTTTGCATTTTGGTTTCTGGGTTCATGGGTTTTCACTCTCTTTTTTCTTTCTATGAGGAATGAAAACAGAGTTTCTCTCAAGTTTTATCAACATGGCATTTCAAGATCTTCTTCTTTTTACAATTTTCATGCAAAATCAATCTGTATTACTATTTCAGCTTAGTGCAATTCATTTGATATAATATATGATCGTTTCTGGCTGCTAAATGTTCACTATGCACATATAATTAGTTAATGATGATTTATTTCTGTTCAAATAAACTAAAGTTTTTCTGCATGAGTTGAATTTTTTGTTTTTTTTGCTTTTTGGAAATGAATTGTAGGCATCTTGACTTATTTTTCAAATGAATACTCATTTGTTATCTATTATTTGTTTTTGAATTTCTTGTTTTAATGGTAGCATACCATAATTTTTTTGTTCTGGGCCATATTATAATCACTCATTTCTCATCCATCTATTTGGTCCTTTCTTGCTTTTTTTTTTCTTCTTTTTCGTATGATTCACTTCTTTTTATTCTGGTTTCAGATTTACCAGCCCAAATCCTTGGTCTTGGAGTTGGAATCAACTATGGCCAAATAGCAAACAATCTTCCTTCTCCTTCCCGTGTTGCCTACCTCCTCAGATCCCTCAATATCAGCAGAGTAAAACTGTATGATGCAGATCCGAATGTTCTTGTTGCCTTCTCCAATACAAATGTTGATTTCATTATTGGACTCGGGAACGAGTACCTTCAGAACATGACTGATCCTGTCAAAGCTCAAAACTGGGTTCTGCAGCGAGTTCAACCCCACCTCCCCCAGACCAGGATCACTTGCATCACTGTGGGGAATGAGGTCTTCAAAAGCAATGATACTCAGCTATGGTCGAATCTCCTCCCAGCAATGCAAACAGTTTACAGGACTCTTGTTGATCTTGGCCTTGATAAACAAGTAACTGTCACAACCGCACATTCTCTTGATATCTTAGGTGTCTCCTATCCTCCTTCGGCAGGGGCTTTTAGGCAAGATCTTGGAGAATATCTACATGCAATTTTGAATTTTCATGCTCAGGTCAAGTCACCCTTCTTGATTAATGCATATCCCTATTTTGCATACAAATATAACCCGAACGAGGTGCCAATAGACTACGTGCTTTTCCAGCCTAATCAAGGGACAGTGGATTCAATTACCAATTTGAAATATGATAATATGTTGTATGCTCAAGTTGATGCTGTTTATTCAGCTATCAAAGCAATGGGGCATACGGATATTGAAGTCAGGGTTTCTGAGACAGGTTGGCCTTCCAAAGGGGATGAAAATGAAGTAGGAGCTACACCAGAGAATGCAGGATTGTATAATGGCAATCTGTTGAAAAGAATAGAACAGAAACAAGGCACACCGGCAAAACCAAATGTCCCGATTGACATATATGTTTTTGCACTTTTTAATGAGAATTTAAAGGACGGTCCAACATCAGAGAGAAACTATGGACTCTACTACCCTGATGGCACCCCAGTTTATAACATTGGAGTGCAGGGTTATCTTCCAGAGTTGGTATTTTCATCAGATAGCACAAAAAATGTAAGAAATATACTCTTTATCCTTAGTATCGCCTTTATAATCTCTTCTCAGTTTGATGTTCTGAAAGTATTCTTTTCTCGATTCGTTCGTTTGTCAATCCCTCAAGCCTGTTATTCAAATAATGACATCTCTCTATTCTCTATCACTTTTAATTGTTTTGCAGGCATTATCTGTCTTCAGTCTACTGATCTTGGTTATAGCATACTTAATCTCCGCCTGAAATCATGTGAATTTGGCTAGTACGGAAGGGAGGGATGATCATAAGGGAAAACAGTATTGCGGAGACATTTCAAATAACAGAGGAAATCTTAGGTGAGATATTCAATACCCTTTTGAACTGTTGGAGCACCAATTAAGAACCATCACAGTTATTCATCCCTATTCTGGAAATGGCAACGTGGTCCAATCTCACGTACATGTGAGGCCATGAATGTAGGATCCATTTACATGTGACCGTGGATGGACCTTAGGGCACTAGAGTCTAATCCTCTAAGTTGTTCTTTCCCCAATTCATGTCTCATGACTTGGCTTGAAATAGGCTCATAGTGGTTAAATGTGTTGGCAAGTGAGTGTGTTTTTCATGTTGTTGACCTTCTTTCTGATCCTTTGAACTCAGCAAATACTTAGGGTTGGGGTAGTTGAAGTATTAAGGGTGTATGCAAATGAGTGGGATTCTTGTGTCAAGGAAAAAAAATGTTGGGAGGGAACAAAGGGCATTTTCCTGTTGGATACATGTCTAGATGGTGGAAACCAGTCACTCAAGGGCTTCCATCAGAATTGGCCCAACAGATGATTGGACAATTAATCTTAGATTCCACAGGACAGACAGATATTAAGGGTTTTTTTTTTTTTTATAATTTTATATTTAAAAAAGACTTCAAATCATCTGGAAGAGAATTTGGAATTATTTTCTTGTAAGGTTTCTACCCCATGGTATCCATAAGCAGGACCCTCAGAATGCGGCTGTTGCAGTCCACTCCACACACGCAACAACTGGCTGGTGTGTAAAACTCCAATTCATGACATAAAGTCTCATGCCTAAAATACAATTATATTATATTTTTTATCATTTAAAATATGGTAATGTGTCTCCATCCTTCTCATCTTCAATCGTGCATGTGAATCTTTATGTGTTGAAATTCTCCTTTGTCTTCACCCAGACAAAAGTCCAAATTGGCTTCCATCACGAAAGGAAAAGCCATTAGAATCCCTCTAACGGCAGCCACTTCTCACATTATCCCTTCTTTTTTCTCCTCCTTTTCTCTCCTGAAACCACCAAAACTAAAACCTAAGTCGGTGAGCTCTATCTCTAAAGATGGGTTTGCTCTTTGTCTGCTTCTCTTTCGTTCTTTCCCAAAAAGGTGAATTCATGGCATCAGCCTTTACATCAGTGTCTAATCCATGTCATTTTTCAACTCTTTTGCTAAACATATTGGCAGGCCTTCCCATTCAAAGCAAAAATACTTTCCTCTGTCAAATTAGGGTCAATTTAAGCTGCCCAAAATCTCTGTAAATATTCCCTTGTTTTCTTTTTTTTATATAAGGCCATTCCTCATATGGGAAGATCAAAACCTTCTAAATCAAATAATGTATTTTTAGGTTAATTAGGTAAAATATATCAATTATATACAGTATGTTTGAAATCCAATTTGTTTTAACAATAATCAATACTTAGAAATTAAAGTAGGCAGGTGGCTTTCAACTTCATGGACCATACCTTTGAATTATGGAGAGCTTGCATCAGCATAGCCAATGGATAAGATTGAGAGATAGACGAATTTATTTGACCATTCAACCTAGTGACCGCCCTAGCTACATCAATTTTTGATCCTTGGTTGGTTCTTGGTTGCACAATCAAACCTGACAAAAGTTGAAAGTCAATTGTCTAGTCAGAATTGTACAATCTGAAGCAATCCTAGTAATTTTTGTAGACAGGCATGAGCCATATTAAAAGTGTGATGAAAAAGGTTTACAAACATTAGTAGCAAGTTATTTGCATGAACTAGTGAACATCAAACAGGTCTCTTCCATGGTCCCATTGTTGGGCCTTTCATCAACAGATGGTTTTAGATTGCTTTGATCTTCAGACATCATGCAAAATTTATGATGCCGAGAGGAAGCATCAATCTACATCCTAAGAAAAAGGATGATGATGAATCAAGGAAATAGACTAAAACCTACCTCTACCTGTATTTTGAACCAATTAAACAAATAGATTTGATGTTTTTTTCCCTACTTATGATATGATTGATTGATGGGTTGCTTCATTTGTTACAGGGAGACAAAGCACTAATCCAGCGGAGGAGAGCACCAGCTTATAAACTTTGGAAAATGATTAGGTATTACAAAAGAAAAAAAAAGCCCAAAACAATTAGTCACTAACAGATGATAGTTTAGTTAGATATAGATTCTTTAAAATAAAAAAACATAATAAAAGGAGAACTTGGTGAAGATTTTACAGGGCTTCAGTTAGTTTCTTGTTGTTCTCTGGTGTACTACTAGGTGGGATGGGATTCTTAGTTTGTATACTGAAATAGATTGTTTTAGTATTGTCATATGACATTACACCTTCATATCTTTTAGTTAATTTCAGAATGTTTCTGATTTTCTTTCTCTCTTCCCTTCAAATATTTGTTTAACACAGGATTATGAACTATATAAATAGATTGAGCAAGAAAATGATATGGGTTGAATCTCAAATGACTAAAATTGCAGTTGCAACAACTGCAAAACTTCAATTCTAAGCCTCGAGTACCATTCAACTATCTTGAAAATCAACACTCATGGCTAAAAGTATGACCACCACAATGTCATGAATGCTTTGTCATGAACACCTGCAGCTCAAATCATGTAGTATGTGCATTTAAAATTTTAAACTATAAAGAAGTATGTGCAATAAAGACCCAATTCCATGACACAGAGCAATAAGGAAGAAAAGAAATATATGTTGCTAGGGCATGGCCACATGAAATTCCCCATCCCTTTCCCCCCATTTTTTTCTCATCCTTTCTGGCAACTTCCTTGCTTTCTAACTCAAATCCCCCATCCCTCTTATCCAACTGTCTAATTTGATGGGAACTCCCTTCTAGAGAAAACACAAACAATCTGAAAAACAGTGACATTTGCAATTACTCCATAGCAGAGCTACAAGACAAATTTAAACAAATAGTTATGATAAGTAAATAGTTCTTCAAATTACATAAGCATAGGGAACATTGAAAGAAAATCGAAGCTGATAACAAGAGAGAGGAAAAATATAGACCTAAGGTACAAGCAGTTAGTTTTGTTTTGGGACGGGAAGGAAAAGCACCTCTAAAGAGGGCCCAAACCTGGTACAAAACAAGAATAGACTTCCACCACAAAGAGGCGGAAAGAAGAAGGTACTACCAAAAGAATTGCTACAAAATTATGTTTATTGTCCTCTTTCTCCCTGTATATCAATGGGGTCCGGTTTCTCCTTGTGTACAAAAACAAGATCCTACCCACTGGTATCACCAAAAAGTTTGGTTCCTTGAACCTAACAGTTTTATTCTCATGTGAACATGTTCTCTTTTCACTATGATTAGTGCCCCATTTATTCTTCAGAAACCTTGAAAAATGTATAAGATAAGATCAGGTTGTTGATACCATCCATTCGGGGATCTGTTTCAAACTCAGGATCTATGTAGAAGAAAACCTGCAAAAAAATACAAGCAAGTCAATGATCACAAATAAGTTTTGCCTTAAAAACAGTAAACAATTTATTTTACTTTATTTTTTAAAAAAACACCACTTACAGGCATGTCAATCTGCTCTCCAGGAAGAAGACGCTGCTCCTCAAAGCAAAAGCACTGTATTTTATTGAAGTAAACTGCAGCCTGAAAAAGGAACAAGAAAAACGTACAGGTTAATGTGCTTCAACATAATTATTTTTTTCAGTCCAAATATTTCTTTTCTTCCCTTTTCTTTCTCATTATCCCTTTAACAAGTTCATAATATTTCATACTTAATGTTTCTTATGTTAGCTAACTTGGAGATAGTTATCATACAAAGTAAAACATCCAAAACAAATACGCTAGAGGATAAAAAAAGATGCCAACTGTAACCAAAAGAACAACGACAACTATTGTTCTTCGTAATCTGGAAGTGACTATTTTTCACCTGCCTCAGGGCCCATCTCTCAAGACTGTAATAGCAAAGCTAAGTTCCTCAACTCTCTTTAAGAAGAAACTGGAATTCCAACTAACTGTTGGAGATTTTAGGCCAACCTTACACAACCAGGTAGTATAATCATATTTACTAACTTTTTTCTTGCAAAAAGGACAACAAAAAGAAAAGTAAAGTGAAATACATCTTTCCTTCTAATGACATGGGATCGTCCAATTCAAAACAGTAAATCTAGCATTTGACTCCAAGCAACAGAAGAATTTAATCACAAACTTGAAGACAATGGTTTTATACAGACTCTTCTTGGCTGAGACCACAAGAAAAACAAAATTGCACGTTCTCCTATTGTCACTCCTAGAAGCCCCAAAGCAATACTATAAACCTAAAAGAATGACATTGCCAGCATTTAAGCAAACTTGATAGGGGCTAGACATAGATTCACAAGGATACCATTCAAAAATTTTGGAAAGAAATTTAGACATGGAGAGAGAGAGAGAGGGGAAGAGATTACAATCATGGGAACTACAGATTCACAAGGATCGGTGAGAAGCAGAGCTTTGCAGACACAGAGTTTTTGCAATCCAAGTTACTCATGTAATAAAAATGGAACAGCAAGGACTAACTTGACCATTTGAGCAAATAGTATAGAAAGGAAAAGTAAATACCATAAGTCAAGACTGAAAAAGATTTAGACAATGCTAGAAAGAGATGGTCAAAAATGCTAAAGGCTCACAGCCACGTAATGCATGAGAGGTCAAGCCAGATCTAACACATGCCTATAACTCAAATTCTAGAAAGAACAAATAATTCAACTAGTCCGATTTTAATTACAGAGCATGTGTAAGTATCAGTACCTTCATAGGGGTGACGTTATATGTAGAGACACCAGTTATGGGCGTTGAACTTCGATTTTCAGCAGTATAAAATGCAAGGGCACTTTCTCCAGGCTTGACTCTCACCTAGCAGAAAAATTAAATAAATAGAAGATAAAACGAAGCCATTAGTTAACAATGCCCAAAATCCACAGAGAAAACATAAGCACCTCTCTTTGAGTCGGAATAAATTTCCAGGGCATTCCATCTGCTACATCAGCATTGAATTGGACAACTATCTCCCTGCAAGGGTAAGCACAAATTTCTCAAGATCAAATACATAGAAGAAGAATAAGAAGACTAGATTGTGATAAAGTCTAATGCTTCACAGTAGCAAGTCTTAGAAATGCATGAATTAAATTGAATAAAAATGAACAAAATGGGTGATGAGAACTGAGGAAAAATCCTAAATCTAACTGCCTGACTCCTGTTTGTTACTGTCTTGTGTTGAAGTAGCATGCTGTATGAAGCACGTGCATGGTTGGAAGGCAGGGATATCTTGTGGTCAATCTTATCAAACCGAATATCTAACAAGGCATCTCACTCCCTTCTTCCTTTCAGAGGAAAAACAACATCCTATGTTCATTAGTGGTGTCCTTTAAGTTGTTTTCCATCCCACTTGAGAAAAATGCTTCTTGCAACAAACAATTCCATCATTTTTCTACTAAGATGAATAGTAACATGCCTTTTATTGAGGGAAAGATTTCATGCTGTATAAGTGAAGCAAAAAGGTTACAATCGTTGGAAGAAACCCTTATCAATATCATTGAAACTCGTGTCTCTCATTCTTGCACAAATCTCACTTGACAAAAATAAAATAACCATGAAAATAACAAATCTTAAGAAACATATGCATATCTAAGCAGAAAATATCAAAAAGTAGAAACTGAGTATGTCATAAGTAGAAACAAACCCCTGAATCAAATTTAACCCAAAAAATGATACAAGGATTACACATAGCTATAGAGTCTCAACCAAATTATTAGAAAGCATAGTAAGATCATAATTATTTAAAACAGAGATTAAGATAAGCTCTTACATCCAAAGCCTAGAAAGCGCACCTTGTTGCTACTGTCCCATCTTTTGCATGCCGAGCAATCTTCTCTTCAACGCTCTAAAGAAAACAAACATTTGTTCTGGTGAAAAACCAACAGAAGAAAAAGAAATTCTGAAATAGTGAAAAGATAGAAAAGAATAACATAAACTCAGCTCCACCTCACGGCGTTGGACAGTACCGCCATACCCAGTAGCCTGGCAAAATCTTCGGTACAAAGGGACGGCAGCATAACTACTTCCCACCATTGCAAAAACTAAGGCTGTAAGATACAAAAGAGTCTTTTTGGATTTTTTCTCTTTGGAAGCATGGGAAGCATGTGAAGCATAATGCCGCTGAATGCTAAAGGAAGACAATCTCCCAAAACATTGAGAATCATAAGGATGGAAATCAAAAGACTTTGTTAAAGGCCTTGTGCTAAAGTCACATCTTGGCATTGAATCGCAAGCATTGTTGCCACACCCAATAGAAGCTCTATAGAACTTGTGTCTCGGATATAAAGCATCAGGAAGAATCCTGGATTAACACAAAAATTTTCATCCAAGTGTTACACATCCCAGAAAAGGAAGCTTACATTCTGGTTGGGAGAAAAATGAAGTTGCAAAAGAATAAAATCTAAAGGCTGAGTGTATCCAAATGATTATCCTTTAAAGGCTAAAGAACAATATATGAATAAAAAATTTAGATCATCAGTCCTTCACAACCAGTAGGTTTTTCCTAAAACAAATTTCTGGAGAAATTTCTGTCTTAGTTCTCCAAGTAAAATACCTAGCTTTCAATGAAAACAAACAGTTACAAGGATCAAATATATTGGTAACACATGGCACTTACCTTGATTCACGAGACAAAAATTGTTGATTCAAGAGACTGATTCTACTAGAAAGTCTTGACCATGACATGATAGTAGACACCTATGTATCACTGCACATGCAAACGCAAAAGCAAAAGAGCAATGAACAATATAGCAAATTTAATTTCACTTTGGTTTCTAAAAATATGATAATAAAATCGCACCAGACCAGAAAAAATAACAGAAACACATCATCAAACTAATCAATAGCCCAACAGATTTACTCAAGAACACCCAATTTTTAAAGCATAAACCAATCAATAATAGAACCCCATATCAGCAATAAGGCCATAATGCTTGAAATAAAGATGTAAAAAAAATGAAATTAATAGTAAGACCTTTATACCTTCAAAAGGGTATTGAACTACTGAAATGGGGTCTCAAAAAGGAGTTATTTTTGGGTCTATTCTTAAGCCTCTGGCTTGGAGTTTCTGGCAAAGTTGGAAGCTTGAAAGCGTGTACAGCTGAAAAGAGAAGCCGCTTGAGCCTAGAGAGGGAGAGGGGGAGAGAAAGGGAGAAAAATAAATAAAACAAAAATAAAAGATGATACACTCAAGGGCTTATTTGCACAAATAGGACTCAACAATAGGGGAATATTCAATTTGGTGCCCTTATTACTTTCCTAGGCAAAAATTGAATGGGCAAAAAATGGTTAGGTGTAAAAAATAATATGCTAAATAGTTACAAATTAGAAAAATGTTTTTTTAATAGGTAATGAGTAAAAAATATATTCTAATAATTTAGAGGTATTTAGTTTTAGAAAATTTATCACTTTTTTAATGAAATTATTTTATTCAGTTTTCTAAAATATTAAAAAATTTATTTTTTCTTCATAAAGAAAATTTTTTTTCATTATGTTTAAAATTCTTGCTATTACTTAACTTATTTGTTTCAACGAATAAAAATAAATAATCGGTTAATTTAATTAAATCAGTTAGAAAATTTCATTAACTCATTTAACCAATTTCTATATAAATGTTAACCAAACCAACCAACTTTACGCATTAATCGATGCCCCTTTATATTTTAAAAATAATAAAAAAGTAATAATAATTATATAATAATAATTTTTAAATTTAATAAAAAATAAAATTATTTTTTATAATATTACTATATTATCAAATTAATAAAAATATTAATGGTTAACTAACAATTGAACCTATATATCTAATAAATTTTTTTTTTAAGAGTAGAGTATTTATTTTAAAAATTAATAAATTCGTTTAAAATTTCTATTACAATTTAAAAATGTAAAAGTATTTTACCCTATTTCTTTCTTTAGTTGGAATTATTAAAAATTGATTTAATATTGTCTCTTCCAAACTAAACCATTTGATTATCCATTTTCTTTTGGTTTTGTCTATTGCTTTTCAATTTAGTAATATAATCATGTATTATTGCAAATTAAATGACTTGTAATTTGAATTTGCAATTGAAGACAATGCAATCTTTAACACAGCTACTCAAAAAATCAACCTCATTTTCTCCAGCTCGCTGTATAGATAAAAGAAAACAGTTCAGAGTAGATGCGCTTACAAAGACAGGATATTTCAGTCCCAAATGATTGCTGGTAGCGCTTGTTTTTGTCACAAAAAGAGGCAAATTCTTCACACTTTTCACAATATTTATCAAAGGGTACAATTCAAGAGAATAGTTGTAGCCTAAAATCAAATGATTGAATTAAAGCTCATGATAATAATACAAAGTCAGTCATATGAAACAAGAAATGGAATGACTATAGACATGAATGAATCGTAAGTGAGCGTTGCTGAACCAGTATAGCGCGGATCCTTTTCCTTGAATTTTTCAGTCAAGCCCTGAAAACAAGAACCGTGATAAAATTAATATTTCAATGCCTTAACCAGTGCATGAAAGCTCCGATCAAACAATTATGTAATCATATGGCAAAAGAAGCAGCATAGACAGTGAACCATATTGAGCCACATTGGTAGATAGGGATAATCAAGTATTTGACTTAATAATAGGTGCATGTATTCCTGTATTAAAAGAATCGGATCTGAATCAACCCTTCCTCAAATATAAATATTTGAGATAGGAAACTACTGACTACTAATCAAGAAATTTCAAGATGATTGGATGGAGTTAAATGGAGTATGCAATCTCTCACCTTTACAATCATCCCGCACCTGCAAATCAAAAACAAGATGAAAAAACGTCGATTAGATTATAGATTATCATATTTCAAATCTTTAAAGGGAAAAAATACAATGAAAATGAAAAGAAATTGAAGAAGAATGAACGTGTTAGAGAAGAAGCCTTACTCAACAAAACTGTCGAAATTGAGTTCAACCTTCCTGCCACTTCCATTGTCATACTTGGAAATTAGAACCTGAAGGACAGAAGGTGGAATTGCATATCCAAGGCTGTATAAAGCATCCCTCAGTTCCATCAAATCAATTTTCCCACTCCTATCTCTATCAAATCTCTCAAATATGGCCTACAATTTCGAATCCATGAGCATTAACTCAGTGCTTAAAAATGATATTAGCATGAATGTATTAGAGATTAAAATATATGGAAAATGTTGAGACCAAAATCCATTCTTAGAAAATGCTTAATGACTCACCCGCCACTGACCAAGGCAACTCCACAGTGCAGCAAACTCTTTGGGCCCTGAAATTGAAATTTTTGCAACAATCATGCAATTAAAATATCTCTTTAGACCAAAAGAAGAAAAAAGTTGCAAAAGATAACAAGTGCCTAAGGGTTATTTCAGAAGTTCTTTTTACTTAGATCACAAGCAATAATTGATTACGAATATGAAAATTTTGATACATTGAATGAAATATAATTTCCTGGATAATAACCTTGACAAGTGTCCTAAAGACACTCCTTAGCAAGATTAGAAAAAACAAATTAGAAGAACCAACAAAGCAAAGGGAAAGGCAAATTCTTAAAAGCTACGGATAAAAAAACTAGCGACAGGAAGGAGACCATTATTTAATTGAATGGGTCCAAGCCCAGGAAAGTAAAGCAGAAAGCCAAAAAATCATGCCAAGTCAAATTGGAATCTGATAGCTTTACATTTAAGCGGATAAATAATTGTGCTGTTCAATCTTCAAAATTCCAATTATTTCTTTTTCAATCAACAGTTATTGGAATATAAGACCATTAAATCTCTGACTCATGCCGCATTTATGCAGATTTCTTTAATATGTTGAAGCTTCTCCATGATTACCATTAGTTGGTTGAGACAAAACTGAAGATAGCAGTAAGGAAATTGTTCTCATAATTAATTATCAATAAGAAACCGGAAACTGAAGATAACAAACAAATTAATTGAGATAGGAAAGAAAATGACTAACCAATTTTGAGAGAATCATGAGGGTTCTTGAACAAGAACATCAGCAATCTTATAGTCCTGATATTAAACCTCTGGTAGCCTGAAGAAAGAGCCCGTTGCAACTCATTTTCATCGATGAATCCACTTCTATCCCTGTCCACCATCTCAAACGCCCTTATCACTTCTGCGTGTGTTCCGGCTGGAAACGAAGGCTGCCCATAACTTGGCTGCTGCTGCTGGTGCTGCGAGTAATAGCTGTGACTAGGAGGAGAGCCGCCATGATGATTATAAGAGTAGTTATCCTGTTGCTGCTGCTGCCCGTAGGATTGTGGGGGCAGCTCTGGTGCTGATGGTGCATAGGAATGAGATGAATAGCCCCTCGAGGAATCCATTGATTTCGACCCAAAAACTCAAGAAAATTCTCTCTTTGGATTTTCCTTTCCTGGGTATCTGATGGATTCAACAAAGTATAAGCAATTCAATATTCTTGTGCAGAGTTTTCGGTTGAGGTGGCTCTGTTTATCTTCGCTTTTTCTTTTGGAGTCTGCAGGTTCGATTTGAAATAAATGAGGGTTTTCAATGGAAGCTACGAAATATGAATGTGAATTTGACCGTCAAATATTTAAGTTAAAGTGACATTAATACGCGGCGCGCGTGGTGTCACGGACATCTGGTTTACGTAAGCGTGTATGCTACTTGCGATTAGGCAGAGGCGGCCCCCTGTTTTTGTACTTTCCAGAGTTCAATCTTGCTTTGAATCGATGTTTCCAGAGATAAATACTACCTTTTTAAACAATCAAATAATCAGTGGGTGACCCAACCAAAGTGGTTTTGACAGCCTCACATCACATCAACTGGGCACCTAAGATTTTCAACTGTCAAAGCAACATGCCACTCCATTCCCCGTAAGGTTGGATCTGTTCTATTGATTTCCTTGGCAGGCAGCCATTGGTGACTCACTCTACACACCAAGCCCATGAGCTTGTGCATGGAAAGATTTCACCACATGGTCGATTCTACTGCTCCTAAACCTGCCATATTATTATCCTTCTTATAATAGGCTGCATCAACATTTGCCTTCAGAACTCAATTCTGGAAATCCTCCATCATCCTGCTAGCTAAAACAGTCCATAGCGGTCGCCCACAATGGAGGGCCTTGTTCCAAAGCTAATTTCCTCCCTCCCTAAGACACCCTTCGAGCTACAAAAATAAGCTGACTTCACCGCAAGAAACGTCGACTTAAAGGGTTTCCACTTTCCAAATTCTTCTATCCTGATCAATGAGGCCTGCTACCAGCGTCGATTGAGGTGACTAATCTCCCATTATCGGCATGAAGTATACACAAAATATTTTTGAAATGACAATACGATTATTCTTAGTAAAATAATACTATTTTGTTTCATAATTAAATTATGTAATGCTCATTATTTCTTTATATATAGTGGGAGAATTTAACATTCTTTTTTATATTTTTTAATTTAAAAAGTCAATAAATACTGAAAAGGGCTAGGCCCAGATCCAACAGGGCTGGATCCATCATGTTATTGACAGCGAAAAGCCTGACAACAATGGCGGGAAACAAGACGTTCTAAACAAAAAAATAAAATAAATAAATGAATATAAACCTCTCCGGCCTTGCCCAAAACTATTTCTTTGGAAAAATTTGTGCAGAAAAAACAGAGAGGAAAAATGGAGAAAGTGGTACCGGAAGCAGAAGAGCTGCCGAAGGCTATCGTGCGCCGGGTGGTGAAGGAAAAGCTTTCCGATTGTTCCCCCGACTACGACATTAACGTTCACAAAGACGCCCTCCTCGCTTTCACCGAAAGCGCTCGCATTTTCATCCACTACCTTTCCGCCACGTAAGCAAAAAAGAAAAAGCCCCAATTATTTTTAGGGTTTATTAAGTTTTTGCTGTGATGGTTTGATTTGGAGAGTTAATTGATTCTGCAGGGCAAATGATATCTGCAAGGAATCGAGGAGGCAAACGATAAATGCGGAGGATGTGTTTAAAGCACTGGAAGAAATTGAATTCTCGGAATTTGTTAAGCCTCTTAAGGCTTCCCTCGCTGGTTAGTTTCTTTTGTTTTTGGATTCGAGGGAATGACCTTTCTTCATTTCGTTAATCGAAAAATGATTCATGGGTTTCCTTGCAGAGTTCAGGAGGAAGAATGCTGGGAAGAAGGGTGCAGCAACAAAGGAAAAAGAAGTGAAAAAGAAGAGGAAGGTGGAAGAGCCATCTGGCAAGAGTGGAAGTAAAAGCAAACAAAATAAAGGGGAGGATGATAATGAAGAAGAAAGAGAAGAAGAAGAAGAAGGAAGATAATGGAAATGAGTAAAGCATGAACAGTGTAGTGATTGGGTTAAACTCTTTGATATTTGTGTTCCTTGTCTGAGTTTAGTTAAATTCATGCTTCAGTTTGGATTGGAAGTGGCATTACGTTTGGCCATTGCAATTGCAATTGCAATTGAAATACACACGAATCCCATTGAGGTTTTAGGTGTTTGAGGTATCTGTCTGTCTGCTTTTGTTACAATCAAACAAACCCATTCCAAATTATAATGCCAAACAGAGTTTTCTGGGATTTATTCTAGCCATGAAACGATGATTTAGTTACAGGCCAAACTAAGACTGGTTTGCGTCCAAAACTTATGCATGTGCTGAATTGAACGTTCCTGTCATCTCTCTACCGGACATAGCATGGCCTAAGAGTGAAACCGAATATCTTTAACTGAAAATAGAAACCAACAATTTAAGGATGGTTTTGGTAATGTTGATCCTACCTTCTTTGTTCATTACTTTTAAACATTAACGTGCATATTCAAAAGTAATAAACCCCTAAACATACCTCTCTGACTCTTAAGCTTTCGGGATGAACATGTTAACTATTATCATTTCAATAAACAGAGGCACAATATGATATTAAGATCACGGCTACAACATAAATAAGCATATCAACAAATGAACTAGATAATTCCATAGACAACCATTACGTACAGCAATTCCCAATCACACACAGTAAACCAGGCAGTTCGGTTATAACTTAAAAATGAACACTTTTGAGGAGAGTGCAAGGGAATGATTGAGTACACTCTCCATCCACAACTATAATCGTCTAATATGAGCAATCAATAGGGGCGATACCGCCTGCTATCGTTGCTGTGTTTTCCCCTGCTTGAGCTGCCACCACTCTTGCCGCCACCCCTACTAGTTCTCTGCTGTACAGGTGGACTTTGAGGTTGAGCTCCGGGTTGTTGCCTGCATGGATAGATGATTAAGGGTTTAATTCTCGGGCACATATCAGAATAACAGCAAGTCACTACAGAACCATCTCTTTCAATGTGAAAATTACAAACTGCATCCACAGGAGTTCAGGTTACCCAATGACTAATTGACCCTCAGACTGGCTCAAATTTAAATATGCAAATATTCAAAGCCTTTTTTGAAAGCTAAACCAAAAAACCAAGTCAACAGATGAGGAAAACATGCCTCTTCCCCATAGACAAATTTCAACTAAGGGCCAAATCATCCTAAATCACTTTAATTTGGCGAACACATTAACCACATCCAGTAATCCAACTTCAGTTGAACAACTCACTTCTAGGCGAGGGAAGTAATTCAGCATAGCTAATTCATCTGGGCTCTGAGTCAGAGGTGGCAAATGGGCAGATTCAAATGGGTTTGGATCGGGTCATCTCAGGTTAAGGTCACATGGATTTGGATCTTTTTGACTTCTAGTTGTTCCAAATTTGAGTAATTTCAGTCTTCGGTCAGGGTAGAATGAAATTGGTATTCAAATTTTGCATTTTTTAGTGTTAAAAACAGGTTATTATGGCTTTGGGTTGAATTGATGTCAAGTTCAAATCATTTCGAATTCGGGTCTTTGACTTTTCGGTTGGTTTGGCTTCTAGTTTTTTCAGGTGGGTTTTCAGGTTTGGCGTAAATTTGCCACCTCTACTTTGAGTGGTTCATAGGAATTTTAAAAAGAATAAGAAAATATAAAGGAAAACAAGGAGAATAAAGATCAAAGAAAAAATAAAGAATAAAACTCCTTTTTCTTTTACTAATTATCATATATTATATTTTGATATTAAGGTAAGAAAAAGAAATCGTTTAATTTTTTACATTGCAAATTTCTTCTTTACTAGTTTCATTCATGTTTTCTTTTTTTTGACATTCTGCCTGAATCAAACAGAGCCTTAAATGAAAATGTCAACTAATTCAATCTAGGCTTGTTCCCCAAAAATTATGAACATGTGGTCAAATGGCTCTTTGCTTTCAGGAACAGGCTGGCAAGTCCACACATGACCATTTTATACGACATTGACCTATAATGTTTCTATGGGAATAGCTGATTGGACATACTTGCTAAACCAATTACAAATAATGCTAAATCTCAGGTGGTTATTGGACCCTAGACATTACACCAGTGAAGAGATAGAGACAAGGGTCAAAAGGAACTGACAAGGTCCTGCCTTGCCATAGAAAGAAAGAGGATACAGATTTTTAGAAGTTCAAAATATTGGAAATAAAATATAGTTATTGAACTTACAGAACATATCCAATCCGTCCATCAGGTAGAAGCATTGGCATCATTGACATGCCAGTAGGGGTTGGTCCCCTACCATAGATTAAGGGCTGTAGGTGACATAAATTTTTATATCAGATAAAATCTAGTAGTCATAAATCTGCAAGTAAACATAAGGATGATAAAGAGATTCAGAGCATTCTTTCATCCTAATATTATATGATCTTGACTGGCACTCCAAAGGTCAAAATACAGTTCATTACATCTGTCACTATATTTCTCACTGAACAAAATTAACATAACAAATTTGAAGACATTCAACATATAGAAATTGGAGATAAAAAGGTTAAGCTAACAAATTTTTGCCCCACTTCCTCAAGCACCCACTGCCAACCCAAAGAAGTAAATATACTATGGTTTTTTTAAACTTGAAAATGAAAACAAAATAGAGAGACAGGCATTCAGGAGTTAGATGTTAATCCTGTAGAGGAACTTCCAGCCATAAATTATACCACAATCAAACTATCAAAGGCACTCATGGGGATACAACGATAGCCAGGGAATATGCAGAACATCAACAACGTAAAACTTCATATGCCAAAGGCCTAACACCCAATGATTATGCAGACATGTAATGTCAAATGCTCTAATCTGAAACAAGATACAGGTTCTAATTCAAAAACTCTGCTTTTAAAATTGTCCTTTTTCTTTGAAAAAAAACTCATATCTCAAAGCAAACCCAAGCTAAAACAAGACCAAGAATTTAAAAACATAGAGCTTTATCAAATAAAAGCCAAATATAGCACCACATCTAAAATATCTTCCAAAGGACCTCCTTCAGTGGAACCATAATAATAATTCTTATAAACTAAACTGGGTAAAGATCTGGTTCAGACAGAATTATAGTGACAGACACAAATAGTAATAAGCCACAGCACAAACTCAAATATTTAACAAGGATATCATCTACATTCCAAATAGGTCAAATGCAGAGGTAGTATAAAATTGAAAGTACAAACAACTAATGATCAACTCCAGAGTATTCAGAAAAAATTATGAAGTAAGATATAGAAGCATTCAAACATGCACCTGTACACGCACAGAGACAAATATCTCACCTGTGCAAGGCCTGCAACACCATATCCTGGACTTAGAGCACCATAGGCACCCCCAACCAGACCATAGCCAACATGAGGTGGATAACCAGGAAGAAAACCTGAATTCTGAGAACTTGAACTCCCAGCAGTCTTTTGATCTGCCTGTGGCTTTGCAAGAGAACATTCCACAACTTGCCCTGAAAAACAAAACAATAACATTCAGAATACATCCACTAAAAAGAAAACAAAAAAATGGGAAAGAACTCAATAATCACCATCCAATTCGTATTTTTCTGTGTTCTTCAGTGCTTTCATGGCACACGATCGCTCCGCAAAATGAACAAAACCAATTCTATTTCTCTCTTGTCCAGGTTTTGCAGGAGGCAGAACCACTTTTGTGATCTTTCCATGATGCTCAAATAGCTTCTTTAACTGATCTTGTGTCACATCCTTTGGCAAATTCTTTACATAAACTGCCTTTACCTGCATAAGATAGGTTAACTTAAATTACCAAATCCAAAATACAGTTAGGAAGACACCCAAACAAATAAATTGCAATCAAGGTGACAACCACCAGAAAGGAAAACCGACTCACGAAGCGAAGGAATACTTGGCATATCAAAAGAAAAGCTCAAGTAACAAATCCATGAAAACAGGATAGAAAGCTAAAGCAAAGATATAAAACAGTTGAAATAAGTTAACAAATGTCTAAGCTATCAAAAGATAAAGGCCAGCCCAGTGAGAGAGGCTCCGCATTGTGGTGGTTAGAGGGCCAAATGTACACAGGCTTACACTAATTTTGCAGAGAGTTTGCTTCTACGATTTGAATCCATGACTTCCAGGTTAAAATGAACCAATGCTCACCCTCTAGCCGAAAAATTTGATAACCAACTATTTAGTCAATCTCCCCACCCCCTTCCCCTAACTCAGACACACCTCTTCTCCTTACACAGAAAAAACCAACCAATGGCCCTCAATTGGGGAGAACCTATAGATAAAGAGTATAAGAGATAGATGAGGTGATTGCTCCGAATGAGAAGTTTCCATGCTATCAATGCACATGATACACAGAAGAATGCACGATGTCAGCCTCAACTCAAAAAAGTGGGGTATGGAGCAACAAACCCATCCAACGAAACATACATGAACAAATAAACTGCCAAAAGAAGCCTCCAGGAAACCAGGAGGGGAAAGAGAGCAACTTAATGGTACCTGAGAAGCAGCCGAAGAATCAGCATTTTTAGGATCAGCCCAGCTCACAGTTGGAGCATTATCACCCAGCCTGAATTCTGGGTTCATCATCTTCTGCCTCGAATACTCAGCACATGCATTGTTATAGTACTCAACAAAGGCAAAGCCCCTGTTATTACTTGAGTTCTTCATATCCTGCAAGCATAAAAGCAAATAGAAAAGACTACTTACCATAAGACAGCCCTTTAGAGATCAACAGTAACCAATAGTCTCCAAAACGAGAGTCTAAAATAGATATGCACAAGTTCATGAACTAACCTTCACCAATTCCAAACCAGTAACTCCAGGCCCAACCTCTGACACAACCTTCCTCAGGTCTTCCTCTCCCCAGCTTCTAGGAATATTGCCAATAAACAATCGATGCTTTGATTGGGATGTAGAACATTTAATTTTTCTACCCTGAGAGAGAAAGAAGCCACAAAGTTCTTCAGCAAACAAAGAAACATACTTGAAAACATCAAATATAATAACATTGTTGTCAAAAAGAAAGAGAAAATGGGGATGGGTACTCCCTAAGAGATTGTTACTCATCTCTAAATTTTATAGGTTGAACTAACATCTTTGTCATAGAGTTATACATATAGAGCTAATAATCAGTAAGTTGCCTTTCAGGTTAAGAGGGTCATGCAACATTTTTAGTTTGGACAACATTAACATGTACATGATTGATAAGAAAATTTGTTACCTTAAATTCGGCATTGTTTAGCT